CATAATGAGGGCTGGTCAGAAGGTAGTGAGTTATCTCACCTGATCACAGTCAGTTACAGATTGAACTCCTCGTTCTACTACTTTCCCCCTTCTCACTACTACAATTGACTAGTCACACACACACAAAAAATGCACCCATAATGAGATTATATTTAGCCACCAGATAACCACCATAATGGCTATCATTAAAAAGACATTACCAAGAATTGGCAAGGATGTAGAGTGACTAGAACTGTCATACTTTGCTGATAGGAGTTAAAATGGTAAAACACTTTGGAAAACTGTCAGTATGTATTAAAACTAAACGTATTCCTACCTAGATGTAGACCTAAGAGAAGTGAATGCTTATGTACACCAAGAGACATGCACAAGAATGTTCATGGCAGTTTTATTCATAATAGCCCAAAATTGGAAATAGAATATCCATAAACATTAGAATGGGACAAATTGTGAGTTTTTCACACAATGGAATACTAGGTTAAAAAAAAACCTGATAAATGCAACAGTAGGATTGACTCAAATAGACATAATGATGTATCAGACACAAAAGAGTGCATACTGTGTGATCCTATTTATGAAAAATTCAAGAATGGACAAAACTTAAGTATGGTAAGAGAAGTCAAGTAGTGCTTATCTGTGATGTAGGTGGGTATTGATTTGGAATTGTCACAAGGGAGCCTTCTGGAGTGCCAAAAATGGTTTATTGATGCGGGTGGAGGTTACATAATGGGCATGTATGTACAGACTTATTGTGCCATACATGTAAGATTAGCACACTTTGCGATATGTATGTCATGCATCAATTTAAAAAACCTTCCTGTGAGCAGAAGATACTTTTTAGGTCCCTTTAAGATCTGAGTTCCCAACTGCTACAAATAAATATCTGGCTGCCTCCACTTGGATTTCCCCCTTAGAGACTCAGGTACAGCTCTCCTCTGGACCTCTTAGAGACCTTCACACTGCAGAAAGAAAATGAAAAGTGGGGTCCTCTTCTATTATAGTAGCTGGTCTTGAGCAGGGCAGATGTAGTCTTTTAGGAAGACTCTTCCTTCCCTCCCAAAATCTATCCCTCCTTCTCCCATCTGTGAAAAATGCACTTGTTAGTTATAAACCAATATTTTACAAATACCTTTTCGAATATAACTTGTTCATAAGTTGAGGCCCTAGTATTATTAACAAATAGTACAGTACAGATGAAATAATTGAAATGTTGTATTATCTTTGCTTTTGTAGGCCTGTTATATTTAAGTGAGGATAAATAACAAATTGTTTCTATTTTAAGGACCGCAGAATACTGGCCGTGGTGCGACTCCTGGTTTTGGTAGTGCTTTCACAGGACAACAAGGATGTGAAAACTCAGGACCAGGATTCTGGACTGGCCTGGGAACTGGAGGAATATTAGGATACTTGTTTGGCAGCAATAGGTAGGCTTTGCATTCTCTCACTTGCTCTTTAATCCAACTTTTTTTAATAGGCTTCTTCGTTTTGCTTACAATTTGACCGCATTTGGTTTTTACTAAGAAAAATAAATTATGGTGACATTGCTCTATTAAATCAGATTCTCTGGGGATGAGGAAGACATAATGTATGTGCTTTGATCAATATTGCATATGTTATTTTCTTTCATTGTATTTCTTCCTTCCTATGTAGTCCTCATAGATATTACGAGGTAGGAAAAAGACTGTTTACTTGGCATCTGAGAAAATGAGAAGGCAGGAAAGAACAACACATTTGGGGAACAGTTAGCTGTCTGGTTTGGTAAGAGAGTGATAGAAGTAAGGCCAGAAAGAGGTTGGGGCCAGATTTTGGAATGTCTTGAGTATTAAGGGTATTAATAGTTTAAGTTTATATTTTTTTGAGTGCAAATTCAGAATGAAAGAGCATTTACTCCCTGTCACTTTTCCCCCATAGCAATGACCATAACAATGGCAAAAATATAAAATAATTTACGCTAGCCCTGATATACCAGGACATTCAGGGAAAAAAATGCTTGATAAAGATATTTTTTTCCTGATAGTTTAGAAACAGGAAGGTGTTTAAAAATTATAGTCACAAGAAAAATGCCTGATAGAGCAGCAACACCCTTCTCAGACTCGTGGTACTACCCATCCTATTCTCCACCCTACTCCAGCACCTGGAATAGCCGCGCTTACTCACCACTTCGTGGAGGCTCAGGTGGCTATTCGGCAAATTCAAACTCAGATACGAAAACGAGAACTGCATCAGGTAAGAGCAAAAATGTAGAAGTTCCTCTTACGTAGCAGTAAAATTCAGAAATAGTATGGGAAGTTAAGATGATTAACTATATATTTAGCAATCATGGTTTTATTTGGTACAGCCATCAATATTTTTATTAATAGTACATCAATAATATTTTTATTAATAGCATAATTAACTGAGATTAAAATATAATTCAGTTTCATTCTTTCTTCCTACTCCTAAACATTCTTTAAAAATCAAACAGGGATTTGATTTTGGCTCAGCTCTACCATTAACCAGGGTTTTAATTTAAATCTTCCTGGATGCTAGTTTCCACATATGTTTAATTCTGCGATCTCTGGGGATCCTTTAAGCCCTAAACCAGAATTTTCTAAGTAGAAGCTTGAACTTTTTAAATTCAGTACAATTCCAAAAATGTATTGAGCTGTACTTTAAATAATTGTCAAAACTATGATTATAATGTTTCCTGCACTAAGAGAATATTTTGTAAAAAGCAAAGATAAAACAAAGTATTAATAATAACTGTTTGTAGTTAAACATCAAGCTAATTAGCAGAAAAAGGGAAGTGCTAGGTAATGAGTGGGTAGTAGATTGCTGCTAATTAGATTAGTCTTTTTCAGGAGAAGGAAGTTATAGAACAAATATTCTTGAAAAATACATTTAAATATGTTTTAAAATGTAAGAGTGGAATTCTTATAGTGCTGGTTTGGATATAATTTGATACATTCACTTTGAAAAACTGATATTGCCTACTAAAATTGAACCTAGGCATACCCATGACCCAGCAATTTCACTCTCAGATATATAGCGACAGAAATGCGTATACTTGTACACTGACAGATAAGCACGAGAATGTTCATAGTACCCCTATTCATAATGGCCTCCACTGGAAGCAACCCACGTATCCATCAGCAATAAAATGGTTGAATAAATTGAGTTATATTTATTGTATACAGTGGTATACTGTACAACAATGAAAATAAACAAGCAGTTGTGTGAAATAACGTGGATAGGTCTACCAAATATAAAGAAGCCAGACAAAAGAATATATGCAGTATGGTTATAACATTCATATTTTATAAAATACATATTCCAGAACAACCAAAACTAACCTCTGGTGTTAGATGTTAAGATAGTGGGAAGGAAAAGAGGGGTAATGATTGGGAGAATATATAAAAATATGGCTAGGTAAGACATATCATGACAGAAGAGAACTCATTCTCAGTAGAAATAAAACTGGCAAAGAATCATGGCTATCAACTAGAATTGTGTGGGACTTATGTGAATAAAATCATAAAACCTTACCAGATAACCTAAAAGGAAACCTGAAAATAATTGAGAGACTTTCCAAATGGGAAGACTTATCATCTTGTAGCCTGCCTGTTAGTATGCGATGTGTGTGTGTGCGTGTGTGTGTGTGTGTGTGTGTCTTAGTACCATTGAAAGTCCATAACCCTCTCCACCTTACTTCTTTTTACTGCTGGAGTTGGGAGAAGTATCAGGCCATGGTCTGTGCTCCATTGGCCTCTGCAGTTTCGGCTCAGACTTAGAGTATTGCCTGTACCACGTCGGCCCCACCATGGAACACATCTTTTGGTGTCCGACTGAAAGGTCATTTCCAGCAAGCCCGTGTGTGACAGACTGGATGACTGGGAAGGTCGAGGTGGGCGGCACTGCACTGGAGCACATGGTCCCGTGCCACCGAGCCGCTTTCTCTCCTTCCCTCATCTCTCTCATTCATTTGCTAACAATAAACATGTATTACTTTTGTAATTTTATGGGCAATTCTAATGCAATTTTAAAAACTAACATAAATTTTATTCTTATTCTAGGATATGGTGGTACCAGAAGACGGTAAAGTAGAAAGTTGAAGTCAAACACTGGATGCAAAATTTCTGATTTTTTATCACTTTCTGTTTAGAAAAAGTGCTACCTACTAACAACTGGTGAAAGAGGATATTCAGAAGTCCTGTGGTGTTTTGTCCTGTATAGCTTTTTGTGTACTATTATTTGAGGCTAAGAGTTGCTGTATGACAAAGTACTTATGTATTGTGTTAGTGTAACATGCAGATGTATATTGCAGTTTTTGAAAGTGATGAATACTGTGGAATGCTGAAAATACATTGTTTAATTTCTAAAAACTGTGATGCCATAAGAAGCATTAAGAATGAAGGTGTTATGGAAACTGAGTACAGAAAATTTCAGTCTTAGGTGGATTGTAGTTAATGAGTTGTTACCTTATAGAGACAATAATATTTTATTTGTTATTGTATCATTTGGTGTTTGCTGTTCTTCAGACATTTAAACCAAGCTTCGGACTACTCATCATGCTAATTTGTGGTTTCTGATCACTTTTGAGCTCCAGAGCTTTGAATCTTTTGGTGGTGGTAGCCTTCTGGTAAGTGAGACTTACCTTTCTTAGGAAAAGGTAGAAAATAAGTATCTAGAAGGTTGTTGTGAATAATTGTGTGCTGACAAAAATACTTGAAATCTCCATATTTCTTCAATTCCTAAGAGTTAAAGTTCAAATGCTTCAACAAAGGTCTTTTAATAGCAAAAGCATGCATTTCTCTGTGGAATCTCAAATATTGTTGTAATAGTCTGTTTTAATCTTACATTAAAATGACAATACATAAAAAAATTGGGTTAGTCTCATTCTTTGTTAGCCTCAACACAAATTGGTGTTACTTTCTTTTGCCCTTTTTCTCAAAGGAAAGGGGTTCGTGCGGAAGTTGTCCTTAGACAATAATTTTATGTGGTAGTGATACCTTAGTCATTTGGCAGATGTTTTCAAAAAGTGATTTAGGAATGGTGTGGGAACCTTGCTAAAAACTGCTTTTTAAAAAAATAATTAAATCTCCAAGCCTCCCAGCCCATCAGAGATTGCATAGTTACTCTTAGGTAAGTGTTGTAACCCAAAAGCCTTATGTTTATACTCTAGGAACCAATTTAAAACAAACCAACCCTTTATGAGACTTTAAAATGTGATTTTGGGGGTAGTTGCAAGGGTATTATGAGTAGAACTATCCTTTCTTCATCAGTGAAACTTAGTAGAAATTTTAATTTATGTTACAGAGGAAAGAGTTTTTCTTTAGGTATGCTCTGCTAAATCCTTACTCCGTTTCTCCTTAGTAGAAGGATATGGAATAAAAGAGAATCCAGCTTAATGTCTTTCCCCCTGTTTGCTTATTGTTTTGGGTTTGAGTTCATTATTTGCAGGAGTTGATAATCTTGTTTTACTTGGAGAGCAAAGTAAAATTTAAAGCTGCTATAGATTGGGCCAGTGATAGTGATTTGCATATTGAATTGGATATTCTTAAAATGCTATGCTCAGATTCCCGCCCCCCCCTTTTTTTTTCTTGAGATAGGGTCTTGCTCTATTGCCTGGTTTAGAGTTTCAGTGGCATCATCATAGCTCACTGCACCCTCAAACTCCTGGGCTCGAGCTAACCTCCTGTCTCAGCCTCCAGAGTAGCTGGGACTACAGGTGCTTGCCACCATGCCTGGCTAATTTTTTTTTATTTTTTGTAGAGACTAGTAGAGATTCTGAACTCAAGTGTTTGAGGGGTGAGAAAGGACTCGTAGCAGTTCAGTTGGTTTGCTGCACATGGGCTCAAAGGTGGCCTAAAGTAAAAATGGCAGAACTGCATTGGTGTAATGTAAGAGGATGGGATGTTGAGTGTATTTACCATGGAAGACACTCACCCTGGAAGAGTCCACACCTGTCATCATGACTGAGAAATGCATTGGTGAAGGGGGGAGCCCACAAATTTGGTTGCTCTTCTTTGTAGGTCAGAAAGTCCAGTGGGAACTGCTGCTATCACACGGGGACTGCTAGAAGCAAAGGGGCTAATGTGATCCCAGGTAGCAGGGGCCAAAGACAACATGGCGTGGTTTCTGTAGTGGACAGCAGGGCCAAAGCAGCAATCTGGATGGTCTGACTCAGAGACTGGCTAGTTGATCGTGGTGTACCTAGAAAAGATAAGGGCTGTCTACTAAATTCTTACTTGATTTGTGTAAGCAGAAAAGCTTTTGGTTGAGTAAACAGAAGTCTAACTTAAATCATCAGAATCTAGTCATGGCCTTTAAAATCATTTCCCAGACTTGAGCCAGTTTGCAGACCCAGAACCCCCAGGGAAGGAGAGGCTGGGTCCCCTTGAGGAAGCAGCCTGCTACGCAGCCACAAGTTTATATTGTTCATCTTTCTCCCCATCTTCCCTCAATGGACTTGGGGCTATTTATTGGGGTAATTGCATTGGAGATGGGGAAATAATCAGACGTTTTGGGGATTATAGGACAGTGTCTCTGAATGGACACTGATGCCAGGAGGCCCCAAAACATTACTGTGGTCTATCAGTCAGAGTAGGAGCTGATAGAGTTTTAGCTCAGAGCCATCTCACAGTGAGTGGGTCCCCTGAATGCATCCCATGTCCCGGAAGGCATGATTGGAACAGACATACTCAGCAGCTGCCAGAGTCCCCACCTCGGTTCCTTGATCTGGGGAGCGAGGGCTGTTATGGTGGGAAAGGTGGAAGCCACTAGAACTGCCTCTACCTGCAGAAATGATAAACCAACAGTAGCCATGATGTGGACACTGGGTCGTAGGGCCTGGGAGGGCTTGTGGGGACCCCAGTGAGAAGGAAGAACATCCAAGTTAGAGTTGATGGCTGCTAGGGAGAGAGTTGGAGTGAGGAAGCGGGGTGGTATGGAGGGACACAAAGCGCCTGCGCCCCATGTCTCAGAACGTGGTCTTATTTGGAAATGGGTCACTGCAGTTGAAATTAAGATAAGGTTACACTGGAGTAGGGTGAGCTGCTAATGACTCCTGTCATTAAGTGGGGAAGTCTGGACTCAGATGCAGAATACTCGGTAAAGATTCGAGTTTTGCGGCCACAAACCAAGGTACATCAAAGATTGCCAGCAAGCCACAAGAAGCTGGGGGCAGGCCCGGAACAGACCCTTCCCTGGCATCCTCAGAGCGAGCACACTCTGCTGACACCTTCATCCTTAGACTTGCAGGCTCCAGAACTGTGAGACAAAAAATTCTTGTTAAGAAAACAAAAAAGGAAAGCAAAAGCAATACCACATTCCTGGAGGGATCGTGGAGATGAGTGCCACAACCAAGGACTTGAAGGATGTAGGGCTGGTGATCCCACCACCTGTTTGCCTGTTTGCTCTGTGCAGAAAACAGATGGATCGTGGGGAATCAGAGTATTAACAGACTGTCATAAACTTTATCAGGTGGTGACGACAATTGCAACTGCTGTCCCACATTCATTCATTGCTTGAACACATGCGCACATCTCCTGGTACCTGATATGCAGCCCTTGCCCTGGCAAATGCTTTTCCTTCTTCCTTCTTAGCACAGACCGCCAGAAGCAGTTTGCTTTCGGCTGGCAAGGCCAGCGACACACCTCCACTGTCCTACCTCAGGGGCACATCAACTCTCCAGCCCTGTCACAATTTAGTCTGTGGGGACCCTGATCACCTTTCCCTTCTACAGGACATCACACTGCTCCATGACATTGATGATATTAAACTGATTGGACCTGGTGAGCAAGATGTAGCAACTACTCTAGATGTATTGGTAAAACATTTGTGTATTAGAGGGTGGGAAATCTGACAAAAAATTCAAGGGCCTGCCACCTCAGGGAGAATTTCTAGGGGTCCAGTGGTATATGGGGCATGTCAAAATATCCCTTCTAAGGTGAAGGATAAGTTGTTGCATCTAGCTCCTTCTATAACAACAACAACAAAAGAAGGTGCAATGCCTAGTGGGTCTCTGGATTTTGCAGGTGACATATTCCTTATGTGGTGTGCTATTTACTGACCCCAAAGCTGCTGGTTTTGACAGGGCCCAGAACAAGAGATGGCTGTGTCACAGGTCCAGGCTATTGTGCAAGCCCGAATATCACTTCAGTAGGGCCTCTTGCCACTCATCTATCAGAGCTTCCAGATAGCTCCTATCCCCCTTCTTATGTTTTTAACTTTGGTCTTCCTCATTTGATTGTTTTATGAGGGCAGTGATTTTATTTTTTTATTTTGTTCATAGCTGTATCTTTTGTGCCTAGGACAGCAAATAGGGTCTCAGCTGGAAATAGGTGGCACACTCGAATTAGAATAATTTGAGGATTTAATACAGGAACTGTTTACAATGATGTGGGCAGATGTAGGAAAACCACCAAGTGTAACAGAACAGGGCAAGTAACAATAGCACTGTTAGACCCATCGCCTGAAGGACATAGGGTGAGGACACAGGTGAGGACATAGATGAGGAGTACTAAGACGCATAGTTTCCTTTGTCATCACTGAGTAGCAGCAACCCAATTTTCTCTTGCTAATTAGGGTGAATTATCCCTTGTAATGACCCCTTTCTTTGCCTGTTTGTTCAGTGCCATGAGGAACCCAAAATGGCCAGAGGATAGTCTCAGGTTTCCAACCCATAATGGCTGTTTCCTGGTGGAAGCATTCCTTCCTTGGGCACAAGAACTTCCAAAGAACACTGTATTAGCACCATTTTGTGCACCTCCTCAGGCGCTCTCACTTTCACTTGGTCAGTGTCACACCCACACCAGACCACCCCTCCACTTTGGAATTTGAATAAAACACCATATTGCAAGGCGTGGGATATGGCTTCCTGCATGGCTGCCAGGGGCCAAGATGGTGCAACTCAGAAGTCTGGGGAATGAGCTCAGTGGAATGAACAATGACCAATGGGAAACACAGTCCCATCTTTTCAGGAATTACTACAAGATCCATTGTCTTCTTCCAACTCTTTTAGAGACTGTGTGCACGGTAAATGGGCCTGCAAAATGACCTGCTCTGTGTCTGCAGCTCACTGTAATACAATAGCCAGTGCTGTGATACATTGTGTGGCATCGTGTTGCATCGTTACTGGTCTCACTCTCTTTTTCTTCTCGCCCTCGTGTCCTCGAACATGCTCTTAAGTGCCAGAACTTTAATTTTTGCTTGGGTTCTGCTTTCTAGGGGACTTATGCTAATCTGGCCTAATGCCAGATTTTATCTTCCCTGATATAGAATTGCTCACGGTATCTCCCAATTGAAATTGTTATAAATCAACCTGTGATGGTACAAAGAGAATCCCGATTTCAAAATGTGTATTTCCCAGTAGCATTGGTTGTCCCTGTCCAGCTTTCTCTGAGTTTGTTTTCTCTTTTATCACTAGAGGGCAATAATGCTCCACTATACAAGTAGGAAAACTTACCGTGGATGGTAAAATCTCTTTTTTACTTTTAATATTTAGCAGGTTGCTTATGCTGTTGTAGACTTACTAGATAGGTTATTTGTTTCCTCCCAGACTGTTACCAGAACATAAGAGATTCCCCTAGAGTTGCTCTTTACACAAGCTGTCTCTGCCATGCTCTCAGAACCAGTGTGGTCTGCTGTAACTGGTCCCACGTTTTCAGCCACATAGGACTTAACTCTTCTCTATGTCAAAATATATCCAGATTCCGATGGCTTCTCATCTCTTCTGCTATTGTCACTCAGGTTCAAGCCACCATCATTTGTCATCCTAGTGAGGTCTACCCTGCCTACTTGCATCAGTTAGCATAGGCTGAGTTGTGCTGCAGTAAGAAACAATACCAAGACCTCA